CATGACGCAGAATCGTTTGTTGACCTCCCTTTTCTCCTTTATCTGATGTCTATGTGGACTTCTTATATCAGTACCAAAAGCTAATTGTGAGGAGCATTTAATTTAGGGCCCATTCAATGATGTTAAAACCCTCTAGGATATTTCCGTGATTCAACGCCTACGATATGGTCTGCTTTTCACGGCTTGCTCCTAGTTCCATCCCAATTCCATTGTGCTAACTGATGTGATCATAAGGATGTTGAGGGCCCGGAAGTTCATGATATTACGAGGTCTATCTGACACGACGTGCTTGATGTACATCTTCCCAGGATGGAACCGAGCAAGCCGTGTCGAGCACAGCCATCGTACTGACTGCGGAATTTACAGGCCTGACGAGTCTGGCTACAAGGTTATTGTCTTTCCAACATCAATGGCAAAATATCTGAGACGGTCCTCAGTTGCATATCATTTCAAGCTTCATCGTGACCTCGCTCGCGTTAAAACAAGGTATTAATCTATCAACCCCCCGCCCCTCCCACAAAATAGTCCTGGTCATTGTTATGCCATGCTTGTAAGTGATGACCGAGCCAAAAGCGAATAATTGTGTTACAGAATCTACCCTGTTGTACAAAATTACTCTGATACAAGTTGTTGGTAACTTTAGAACACACTTGCCGTACTACTCCCATGACAGAGCAAGAAATCACTAGCTGACCATGAGAGATCTCCATTCAGGTTCCTGTGAATGACCTAGCACCGGCTAGAAGTTTCAAGATTGCGCCTTGCATATCTCTTCTCTCCAAAGCTCGAGCACATTATCTCTCGGCAATTATTATTCTGGTTGGTACCATTTACATTTCATTTTCGAGACAGCCATACTTCAATTGATTCACTTGCATATGATGATAAAGATAGGTACGTTTGAAATATCTATGTAGACATTTTACCTCATTCTGATCTAGATGAAAGCAGCCAAGGCTAATTTCTTCTTTCTTGTTGATACTACAACTTACCGACTTTAATCGAATATGGAAGGCTGACAAGAGAATTACACAGCTACAGACATACGCCACAGAGTGTTGGAACCCTCCAGGTTTCTGGATATCCCGTAGAGGTCCCTGAGGGATGAGTTGAAGCCCATTGTCTACCTGTGATTTGACATGCTTTCATGCACCAAATTTCAACCCTCGGGGAATGTGATTTGGAACTCTCAAACGATGATAACGAATTGAATACTGACGTGGTACCTACAATGCTGAAAATATCTGGTCATCTGAGGTGAGATGAATACAAACTCTCCGAGGCTAGAGGATCTAGCAAAATCAATTACCTTGGCTATTTCCTACCGCACTTGGATTTTCTTTATTTGTACACGACGGACTGACGATTAATTTGCAGATAAGAGCATGATACCGCAATTTTCATATGTATCTTTCAAAAGATGAGTGGAACACCTACTATGTACATGTGTGCAAAGTGATCCCTTAGTATGACTTGGTGCAAAATCAACTTTCGATTCCTCGAAGACATTTCTGCCATATTGAAAACTTGCAAATGATGCTTCTAGTGGTGAAGTCTAATTACATCCACAACGCGCATAAAGTTCTATAACTAATGCGAGTTTCATTGTTCTGAAAAGCGCCTAACGGAAAATAATGTCCGACGAAAGTTCCTGGATATGACTGCTACCAATACATTCAACGAACACGACGAATTTCCAGAGAATGTAAGATTAAGACCTTCCAATAAAAATATGCCTGAGATCCAAGTTGCTCAAAGGATGAATATCAAGACAGTTGGAATCCTCACATGTCGAAAGCAGCGACTCTCTGATGTGCAACGGGTATTGTCAGGCAAATTCCATTGGGCTCAACATCTCTGATCGATGATCATGGCTTGTACTAATCTGTCGATAGAAGGCTACTAGATACGTAGTAACAAGATAATGATCTTAAAGACCTTGCAAGTTTGTATTGCCTAAGGTATGAGTCTGGAATAGTACAACTAGATACAAAGGTATGAAATGCGCAAATCGACGGGGGAAAAAAAAAAAAACCAAGCGCGTCACGATACTAGTAACGCTGTGTACCCCGCTGGATCGTATCATTCGCACCATCCAGCGCGAGGCGATCTCCCTCTTCATCTTCACCTTCATAGTACCGTCGATCCCGAATGTAGTACGGTCTCTCAACGTATTCCCCGGGTTGTCTGTCCCTGAAGGTACTGGGCGCGCGGCCTGGGCCAGTTGGTCGCACGCTCCCAACTCGTTGAACAACCTCATGTGAGTTTTCATAGCGAGGCTGTGGAGGACGAACACTGGCTGTCCGAATTATTCTCTCCTGGGGCACTCCACGCTCATCAACATAGACTGCATGGCGAGGAAGGTACTCCGCTACTTGTACACTGCCGCTGCGTGAGTAAGGTTCATGGCCTTCTAAAGGAGCAGCGTAGCCTTGTCTCTCATCGGCTACTACGGGACGGGCATATTCTGATGTCACTCGCCTGTAGACTGGCTGAGGCGGGGGCATTTCCTGCACATAGTGTCGTTCACCGTAAGGGTCTTGCACAACCGAAGGTGCACGAACACTGCCCGCGTGGTGATGCACTCGTTCATCGTAAACATCTTTTGACATCCGAGAGACTGGCCGGGGCGGGGGTGGAGGTGCCATCGGCTGCAGTCTTGGTGCCTGAGGCAACTCGTAATACTGTGTGCCATGCTCATCAACCACGATCCGACGTAGCGGGGGTGCCATAATCCGTGCCGGTGGTGCCTCTTCGTAGTAAGTCTCCCGATATGTTGGGGGCGGCATGTCATCCGCAGCAATGTAACGATGCTGTGCGTAAGGAGGGGCTTCTTCGTAATACCTTGGCCGCTCTTGAACCGGGCGTTCCACAACGTATGACGCCGCCCGAACTGGGCGTGGATGGGCCTCAATGTACTCACGAGCATAGTCTGATTGTCGAGCATACTGTGAACTGGCGACTCGTCGAAGATCGGCTTCCTCCCGGATTGGTCGTCTGGTGCTCAAACGAGATATTGTGCGTTGGGGCCCAGCGTCTGGTAGTGGCCCGTGGTACGGGTCAATCTCGTAAACTGGCTCTCGTACTGGCGGCCCGCGACTTTCGTATACTGAAGTGTATTGAGGAGACGCGATGTCAATGTAGATGGGGCGCTCTGCAGGGTTTCGGCCGCGAACAACCGTAGGATCATCGGCGAAAGGTGGCGGTGAAACAGGCTCCTCTTTGATGAATGTGTCGACAGGTTCTGCATTTTGCGCCCTGTGCGAGGCTTGGCGGAGCCCTTGATCGCCTTCACGTAGCCTCCTCCGTTTCCGGGACATGACATGAAAGACCGGTGCATTGGGACTGCCACGAGCAGAATCAACGTCCGAGTACACCTGATCTGAGCCATGTTCAGATCGTTCATCCCGGATTTGCTGGACAGAAGGAACCTTTGCAATGGCCAGAGGTGACACTCGAGATGGCCGGGGAGCTGCCGGTGATGTGATGTGATTTCGAACTACCTTCACGTTTGCGGGAGACGGGGGCTTGCGGTTATCTTTGGTTCGGTCGGTGTATCTGGCATCTGGCCTAGATGTTCTTCCAGCACCACTTTCTAACCCACGGGGATATTCACGATGATCCGCTGGCGGCGCCGCTGGAGCAGGCGGAGAATACTCGGGTTCGTCCACAGTCTCGAACTGATGCGAATCGCGGACGCGGCTGACGGGAGCCTCTGCTTTGTGGTAGCGGGCCTGCTTCTGAGAATGGGAGTGACGCTGGTCAGCAACAAGGTAAGCATCTGGCATTTCCTGATCAGATCCAGGACGGTTGAGAGCTTCAAGTCGCTGCAACTCATCTGCGTAATGGGTTACCGGAACACGTGTGACAGGTTCTGTGGGTGCAATTATAGCAACGGGGGATGACTTTTGTTGCCTGCCAGTCTGGGGAGGCGAGTCAGGAGCTCTACTAGAGTAAAATGAATTGTCGTCGAAGTCACTGGCAGCACCGCCAGGTCCACTGGCCTCAGATGCATCGCTCAGCGAGACTGGTTTCACCGCCTCAAGAGCCTGTTTGAAAACCTCCGAGACATCAAAGTCGGGCTTCGTGTCTTGAACCGCAGGTCTCTGTTTGGTCTCTTGTTTCCTGAACTCCACTTGATCACGCAGCGCTCTTTCCAATCTTTGCCTCTGTAACTGTAGTTCCGCCCTGATTAGATCATCCGACTTGGTCAAGAAGATGGGATCGATCTCGGATGTAGGTTTTGAAGCCACACGGGCGGGTTGTGGTGCTGCAGGCAAGGCGTTTCTGGCCGAGGCACTCTGCAAGCCATTGTAAGGCTGTTTTGTAGGTGCAGCCACAGGCGCATTTTCCAATACAGCTGTCGGAGGAGGGTTTTTAGGTAAATGAGTTCGAAGAGGGACATTTTGGACATTTCTCCCAGACTTGCGCACCAAGTGCTGGGGAACATTGAGTCGGGGGTGAGTGCCCGAGAAGACTTGCTCATTGATGGCTAGGATTTTTTCGTACTCCCGTACCTCATCATCCGGTGTAGGGGCTGAAACAGCCATGGGACCTGCTGGAAGGTGAGTTGCTGGCCCATGAGTTGCGGCCATGGTGCTAGGGAAAAGCTAGAGAAAGGGATCGGTGAAGCTAGAACAAGATGAGAGAGACTGAGAGCAGATATGTTTGCCAACGCGTAAAACACACGTCAAATATCCACTCAGTCCAATTTACGATTGAGAAGGCTCTGAGGATTGGATGGTAGAGCAAATGAAGTGTTGTAAAAAGTCCATGCTAGCCGTCAGGGCCGCTAAATCCGATTAGGTAAGGTCACGGGTACTGTCCAGACATCGGGAAAGTGAAGGAGCCCGGAGAGGAAGCTTATCTTACTGCCATCTTCTCTTTGACTTATGCATCAGTCGTTTGTTTTATCTTCATATCGGCTTATTAGACCTGTTGCGAACCTGTCTAGACTTTCATCTGTTTATCTACCCCTACGATTTCACAGTTCAAGATCGATGGCGACTAACGGCGCTAACGGAGTCAGTGACTCACGGCCAATCTTCTTCTTTGATATTGACAATTGTGTAAGTTAAGGGAGCCTAAAGTTGGTAATTTGGTCACTAATTGCTATACGCTTCTACAGCTCTATTCCAAAGGTTGGCGCTCTTGATTTCCGCTCTTTATGAGCTACTACTGACAAAGCGTACCTCTGCGCAGCTTGCAACATCCACGATGAGATGCAGACATTGATCAGTAAGTGAAGCCGATACAATGGGCTGGAACATACAACTAATGCGACTGCACTTTTACTAGATAAATTTTTTGTCAAACATCTCGACCTTACATCGGAAGATGCCCATATGCTACACCAGAAGTACTACAAGGAGTATGGATTAGCCATTGAAGGCCTTACCCGCCACCATAAGATCGACCCACTTGCGTTCAACTACGAGGTCGATGACGCTCTACCTCTTGACAATATCCTTAAGCCCGATCCCAAGCTGCGCAAACTGTTGGAGAACCTAGACACAACAAAGGTGAAACCGTGGCTGCTCACGAACGCCTATGTTAACCATGCAAAGCGTGTGGTGAAGTTGCTCGGCATTGAGGATCTGTTCGAAGGTGTTACTTATTGTGACTATGGAACTCTACCCTTGGTCTGCAAGCCTAGTCAGGACATGTACGTCAAAGCGGAGAAGGAAGCTGGTGCTCCCAGCACGGATCAGTGCTATTTTGTTGGTATGTCACCCTCCACCGCATGACTATAATCGTTTTGGACACTTTATGCTGATGTCGTTGAACCAGATGATTCCCACTTGAATTGTGTACATGCGCATGCTCGGGGATGGACTACCGTTCACCTCGTTGAACCAGGTATCCCCATCCCACATAAGCCGGCTTCGAAGTACACGATCTCCAGTCTTCAGGAACTTCCAGCACTTTTCCCCCACGTTTTTAAACAGTAACTCGAAAGCGGCGGTGCTTAGATCTAGACCTGGCCACGGTACTCTTTTGTTTATTCCCCTAGACTTTTGGTTTACGACCATGAATGTATATATGATTATAGGCCTACTTAGCTAGCGAGACACAAGGCTTTGGATTATGTGAAATGAAATCGGGGCCCAAGCCTGCTATAATAATACAATAAACAAGCCATTGGCCGTATTTTTCATCAATGCATGGAGTGATCTACATCGTAAATTAGAAGTTTCTGCCTCAGGCAGTAGGGTAATCACTTGACGCGCTCCGCTGAACTCAGGAGTTGCCATGTATCCATTCTCTCAACAACCAGAACTTCTCGGTTATCGCTCAAGAGCTCATTGTAGCTCTTGAGTCTATTCAACATGTCTGGCCAAGCCTTATTTGTAGGTACGGTCATTGAGCTGCCCGATGGACGGCAAGCAACGGTGCGCTTTGTTGGCACCACCCACTTTGCGGACGGACAGTGGATAGGCCTTGAGTTAGATGAAGCCACCGGCAAAAACGATGGTGCAGTCCAAGGAGAACGGTATTTTGATTGCGACCCAGGACATGGCATGTTTGTTCGGCCAACAGTGGTTGGTAAGATTGTCCAGCCCGCGCCGGAGAGTAAACAAACCACCAAACCAGCTAGCAGCGCCGTAGGCAGCAAAGCGCAGGCTAAACCCGGGATCTCCGCCGGTATGCGAAAGCAAACCGGGCTACCTCCTGCAGCAGCGAGGCGACAGAGCACCAATGCAGCCTCTACTCCTACTCCGGCGCCGAAGGGTCTGGCCGCTCGATCGTCTCTCAGAGTATGTAATGTCCTATAAACGAATTCCCTCCTATTACGCTAACCTAAACTCCTACGTTATTTAGTCACCCACAAAGTCCCCAACGAAACAGCTGGCAACTACTGCGGGTCGCCCGTCTATCGGCAGTGCTTCCCGTACCTCTACAGTGGCCTCTAATCGACCCCGACTAGCTCCCAGTACCAGAAACTCCCTTGGCCCTTCTCCAACACAACCGGCAGCCTCTAGAGGCTCGCGACCCTCGATGTCTGGACCAGCAGCCCGAACCTCAAGACCAGGTTCCCAAAGTACAGTTGCTTCATCGACCGCGGGACTGACAAAGCGTTCTTCACTACGACAGGTTGGCAACACAAAAGCATCGGATGGAGGAGATACGGCTATTAGTGGACGATCCGGAGACCCAACCGATACTGAGTCGCCTGGCACTGAAGGGGAGGGCGCGCAGGAAGGAGCCACTGCGCCGAAAACCTCTCGACAATCGATGACTGCTACACGACCAGCAGCTTCGCGTCCTGGGGCCCCGCTCTCTGCATCTCAACGCCAAGGGCAGAGCGGCGCAGTCACTCGCGAGCTCGAAGAACTCAATGCCAAGCTCAGAGTTATGGAAAAGAAACGAGCCGACGATAGGGAGAAGTTGAAGACCCTCGAGCAGCTCCAGTCTGAGCGTGATAAATTTGAAACGATCATCCAGAAACTGCAAGCCAAATATCAACCGCAGCAAATGGAAGTCACCGAGCTGCGCAAAAAGCTAAAAGAACTTGAGACTCGTTCTGACGACGTGGAACGCATGCAAGCAGAGCATGAATCGCTCATGGAAATGGCTACTCTTGATCGCGAAATGGCAGAAGAGACAGCGGAGGCATTCAAACACGAGTGTTCAGCGCTACGATTAAAGCTGGACGAGCTGAATTTGGAGGTGGAGGTTCTCCGGGAAGAGAATGAAGAATACAGCCAGGAGACCACCCCTGAGGACCGAACCAATCATGGGTGGCTTCAGATGGAGAAAACCAATGAACGTCTCCGCGAGGCGCTCATTCGTTTGAGAGATATGACTCAGCAGCAGGAGTCAGACCTCAAGTCACAGATCAAAGAATTAGAGGACGACCTCGAGGAGTACGCTGCTGTCAAGTCTGATTACGAGGCTACAAAGGAGAGAATCTTGGTCGCCGAGACCAATGTCGATGATCTCAAGCAGCAGCTGGAGACAGCACTGGGGGCTGAAGAAATGATCGAAGAATTAGCAGACAAAAACATGCGCTATCAGGATGAGATCAATGAGCTGAAAGCTGCCATCGAAGATTTGGAATCTCTCAAGGAGATTAGCGACGAGATGGAGTACACCCATATCGAAACTGAGAAGCAACTTCAAGAAGAACTTGAGTACCGAGAGGGTGTGTTCAGCGACCAATGCCGAAAGATCGCACAGCAGGACGAAGTTATCGAAGACCTTGAATACACATTAACCCGTTTCAGAGACTTGGTGACGAACCTGCAGTGTGACTTGGACGATATGCGCACAACCAAGCAAGTTTCAGAGGCAGAGACCACCGAGAATGCAATGCGCCACCGCCAGATGCAGGATTTGAACATGAAACTACAGGCCAATCAATCAAAGGCCCTGACCAAATCCATCGATGTCGAATTGAGCCGTATGGAATCTGAGGAAAATGCACAGCACCTTTCAATGATCAAGCTCTATCTTCCGGAGTACTTTGAAGGGGAAAGGAATTCTATTCAGGCTTTGCTTCGATTCAAGCGTGTGGGATTCAAAGCCAATGTCATGAGCAGCACTCTACAAGAAAAGGGATCTGAGCATTCAGTAGTCTCCAACGAAGAACTTTTCCAAGCCCATGTGGTTTTGGAATATCTTATGTGGATCTCAAATGTGTGTGATCGATTTGTGAACTACATCACAGCTTGCTCGCCCGAGCAATTCGGCAGCATCAAGGTCGCAATGTTCGAAATGGAGCCAGTGGAACGCATGTTGAACTTCTGGATCGAGCCTATGAAGAAGGACGAAGTGAATCTTGCAAAGCTTGCAGTGGAATTGCAGCGTTCTATCGCTCTGCTTGCACACCTTGCTGAGACCCTTCTTCCTTCCAGCTTGGAGATGTTTGCCGATGAGCTGTGTATGCGAGCCCATTTATCTCAATCGTATATTGAGCATTCAGCCGGTGCAATTTCACGTGTTAAGCTCATTATCAACTCCAAGATGGCTGCCGCGGCAGAAGGCGACGAGGAAAACTTACTTGCTCTGAACAAACTGGACACTTTCGCTTCTCAGGCCCGCGGATACAAGGTTGCGATGGGTAAGATCAGCCGATCTCTTGATGATCTACGTTCGAGATCACTTGCACTTCCAAAGGACGCCGACGAGCCCTTCAAGAAGATAGAAAATGAAACCAAGCAACTTTCAGAGTTTGCTCGAAAGCTCGGCGAGAACCTTGTTGTCCTCACGAGCGATGAAGGTCGCACAGAATCATTCAGCCCGGAAGAGATTCTGGACTGCATGTCCCAGGCTGCCGTGTCTTTTATCTCGTCCTCCGAAACCTTGGATCAAAGTAACGACCCTGTTTCCTTGCTCTTTACCAGATTGCAGGAAGTAGGCGACCAATTTGAGGAGCTTGATTCCATCTCATCAGATCTGTCTCGCACAACAGAGTTTGAGAGAGCCGCATTCCCCTGGGTTGCCCGTGCTGCGGAACTGAAGTCTAACAAAATGACATCCCCTGATGCAGACGAGGAGATCCGCCAATTGAGAAATGAGATTCACGAGGCGTCAGCCGCACTTGGGGTCAAGGACAATACCCTCGAAGAGCAGGGCCTAAAGATTGAGCATCTTGAATCTAGGATGCGTGAGGCAAGCAAGAAGGCTGCCATGGTCAAAGATCTCGAAGCCAAGGTCGAGGAAATTCAGAGAGCAGGGAGTGAGCTCGAAAAAACAGTTGAGCAACAAAAGAAGGAGCTTCAGACTGCCGAAGCAGAGCGAGACGAGTTCATGGCTCGCCTTGAGCGAATGAAACGCATGTCTGGAACAGCAGGCCTGACGACCACGGGCAACGGCGCTGTCATCGCCAGTGAGGCCTCTTTAGCTGCCATGGACGAGAACGAGTCTCTCCGAACCGAGGTGGAAAGCCTCCAAGCAGCCGTGCGTTTCCTGCGTGAGGAAAACCGCCGTTCGAACATCCTCGACCCATACTCCGTCCAGCGATCCACTGACATGTACGCCTGGCTTGATGCACCACTCGCACGTGCCAAACCAAGCCCCGAACAAGAGAAGATCCAACGCACTGCCCTCGAAAGTCGGGACGTCATGACCCATCTCCTCAAACTGACCAAGGAGTCTCGTGTCCCTGACCTTAAGTCCACGATGGCTGCCCCAGCTAATGACGACAATGACAACGCCGGCCGCACCGTCTGGCGCCCGTCCAAGACCCGCCTCCGTTACCAAGTACTCCAGCAGCGCGAAAACTTCGAGCACTGGGCCGAATGGCGCAATGAGATTGTCAATCACGAACGTGAACAAGACCGCCTGGCTGCCGCCAAGCAGGAACGCGCGATGCGTGATCGTGCCTCCAGGCATGCTCACAAAGCTTCTGTCGAATTTCCGCAGGGCTTAGGTCATGGCATGATGGGTCGTGCCTGGCAGATTCTGGGCATGCAAAAACACCGCAAAACCGACTCCATAAGTACACCTGCTCCGGACGGTGTGGAGATAGTCACCACGGACTGAACCTTTGATTTCGTTGTATGAAAGCTAGCACATCGATCATTTGTGGTTGTATATGACATTGATTCATTCTTTTAACTTGTACCCTTTTTGTCTTTCTGGCAGCTACATTGTCCTTTTTGAGATACCCTACAGAGACAGTTAGCGTCAGACTTTGTGTGTGCAATTATCCTATATTCCAGACGGCTTGGATATCATGGCCAGATGCTATGCCAGCCTGGACCTTGAACTCTACGTTTCGTGTTTCTTCTACATAGAATGCTTCTTAAAATAATAGTTTTAGACATACTGAAGACCACATCATCGAAACTGTGCTCATTATTACTTCCTAGGTAAGCTATGTGGCGAAATCCCCTCAAGTAACAAATAGTTAACCAACCGGGATCGAAACGGGGTATCCCAACGCGCAATCAAAATAAAATCGAGATAAAATCGAGTCCAAAAGCAAACACCCAGAAAATATTTAACCAAGTTCAAAAAAACAAAGTTCTAACCGAAAGAGGGAAAGAAATAGACTGGGCAACTCATTATCAAAATCTCATAACAGCCAAAAGTGTCTTCAAATAAACTTCAGAGAACTCAAAACGCCACCCCAATACTAGTAGACTCGTGGTACCGCATATGTTCATTATCGCGATACGAAGAGAGCTTATGGTGTTGCTGCTGGCCCTCAAAGATGGTCGGGTAACAGACGCCAGAGTCAACCTCCTTTTCTGCAGGGGACGAGGAGACCTGGAATGAGGTGCGGGGAGTGATAGCACTAGAGAAGGCACTAGAGATGGAGCTATTGTTCCGTGCTCTTGGGCCGCCAGTGATGGTCGTGGTAGTCGATGCAAGTGTGGTGCCGCTCATTGTGCGGGCCCGCTCCCAATTAAACCCGTTCTCGCCGGGCAGGAAGGATTGCTTCGGGGGTGTAGAGGGCTTGGTGGGGGTAGGGAACATCCATTGAGTCACGCGGTTGGAAAGAGAGGAAGGGACTGGATCGATCGTGTTTCGGTTCTCGGGGAGTGGAATGGAGGGATGGCGTGGTGATGAGAATTGTGATGGCACAGTTCGCGAGCTGCCCGACGAAGGACTGTTCTTGTACGTCGCTGAGTACTTGGATGGAGATGTATCCGGTGATTCTGTGTACAAGCTCTTGGGTGCAGGTGGAGTTCGAGGTACTCTTCCCCAGGGTTGGCTGGTGCTTGCGTCGTTTTGCCATGGGGTGTTCGATGTAAGCGTGGTCCCTTCCGATTTTGACCTGCCATGGACTGGAGATGCTGCCTGAGCTTCTGGAACAGGTGTCTCGATGCGAGTGACCTTGGAGAAATGCGGCACCAGAGTACTAGCTGTGCGAGCGGGCTCTTCGACGCGGAGAGTCTCCATGTTTCCAAGTGATCGGCGTTTCTGGGATCCGACTGGCTTGCGAGAGACTACAAATGCCTTTTGATCTCGAACGCCGGTTGAAGTTGTGAGGGCACGAGGGGGCACCGGTAGGGTCTTGCGCTGGGGCCCCTCGTATAGTTGGAAGGCTTCGAATGAAGGTAAGTCAGACAATCGATTGCCTGATCGATGAATGCGGAGGTCCAATGGTTGATATGTTAGTGGCGGGTTTGGATGGAATGACTTTGGCTGATGATCGTGGAAGGATTGCACTCTGCGAAAGTCTGAAGGTGCGCCGATCTTCAACGGGGTGGTTGAGGATCGTTTCAAAGACATGCTTGCCCGGTTAGAGGCTCGCGAGGCCAAGTTCCGGCTGTCGTTGAACCATGACGACAATGAGTTTCGATGTTGATGGACACTTGGACTGCGGATGTCATCGTATACCACCAGCTTCATGGGTGGGACAAGGTGTGGTTGAGTGTGGCATATTTTCATCTCCCGTTCAACGCCTGCGATGTATATTAGTCGATCATTTTCAGAGTTTTGATTTAGTTAGACACATACCGTTCCCAGCTTTTCTAGGTTGACAACCATCCTCGCCTGGTAGACATGTCAAGCATGATCGTATCCAACCAGTGAATAACGACCCGGCCTTCTCCAAAGCCAGCATTATGGCGACCAGCGCGTCAATAAATCAATCCATCACCTTCAAGGGGAGGGAAAGAGAGAAGCAAAGCAAAGGAGCAAACCAGTTGCACAGGCAGATCAGCCCCTCAGACGGGATGGGAACATCCCATCCTATAAGCCCAAGTATGAGCGCCTTACCCAACTCGGCCAGGTACACACCATCATGGCACTAATAACCCGAGGCTATGCCCAGTAAAGAAATACATCCTGACGCCAGCGCACTTAGCACCATTGATCGTCGGTAACGGAGCTGATTGAAGCACTACGATTCGTTGGCACCCTGTGGAGTTATCACATCTGTGCTTTTTCTTTCAAGCTATTCCCTGTCAAGCCTATAAAGTACTTTTCTGTGATGAGAAAGTTGGGCGCTTACAGAAATTGAAAGGATAATTCTATTTTGGAATTTCTTGGAATTTCTTGAAGTTTCATGATGTTTTGTATTCTTCTTGTTTCTTCTTGGCAGGATATATACAGAACACAGATACAAATATACCAGACCGAGAATGAGTAAATGAGTAAAAAAGGCAGATGATCATAATCCAGGATGCATCGAAAGGTAAAATACACTATAGAACGCGCTATTTGCCCCATACATTGTCCTGTTCTAAACCGTCGTAGGCCCATTTAGGCCGATCTTCGTTATGATCTGACTCTGGCTGTGTCGAGTCGGCTTCGGCCTCCTCTTCGATTGGCTCTCCGGAGATTGTTCTGGAAATTGGAGCCGGGATTGTTAACGTTGCCCTAAGATCTCGAGGGCTGCTGCCCGCCAATGATTTGGGAACTTACGAGAATCGTCGAGGTTCAGGCTCTGCCCAGGCAGAGCCATACGCTCGCCGTATTTGAGCACGGTATTCTTCCTCGGCTTCTGTATTCTCGACAACAAGGTCAACCAGTTGGTTGCGCTGCGTACCGCTGGAACTGGTGGAGCTGACGTTTCGCTGCAAGGGACCGGGAGTCGCCGAGCTTGGGCCAGGTTTATTGGACTTCGGCTTGGGACTTTTTCTGCTCTCACCATCTGCCGCGCGAGTTTTTCTTTGCCTGCGGGCCTTTTTGACATCTGCCCCGCGGTTTGAATCTTGATTTCTTCGCGAGGGTGGCAACCGTTGGTCTCTTGGCACCTCGTTGGCGGTAATCACTGGGTACTATGCGCGGTCAGCATGGCAGTCACAACGAACACCCTGCATCAGCATGACTTACATTCCAGTCTCCAAATTCTAGTGCGCGAGCATTGAGGAATAGTCGCTCATCCTCGTCATCCATTGCAGTCTCATCGATATCACTATAAGATCGGTATCTCTCTCTCGAGGGTTGACTGGCCCGTTCACTCCTGGGGCCGCGCGCACTGTGTTCGCCGCCCAGCAGAGGCGTGCGGCTGTTGGCTTCACCCGGTTTGGGAATCCAATATTTTGCCTTACCTCCACGCTCATACCTCATGCCGGCCATTACTCGCTTGACGCGCGACCCTGACTCCTCATGCGGGATGATATTATCACCCGAATCGAAGACCCGGTATCCGTAATTCTTACCGCGAATGGTGAACTTGGTGTCTTCAACCAAATCCCGCCCGCCAAAGGCGTCTCGCAGCGCGTATTTTACGGGCATGCGTGCAGCTGATACGGTCGGGTCTGCATAATCGTGCCACGAAAATGCATACCAGTGAGCCATAGCGAATAATGGCATCTCAAAGCAGATGAGACTGTCCTGAATGGCTGCTGCAAGGTTGTCGGGGGTGTACCCAGCAACATTACCAAGCGCCCCCAGCCACTGCAGGATAGATAAGAAAAAACCTTGCCAATATGAGGCAAAAATAATGAGTTTGACGCATAGGAATTTGGGGACTGGGCGGAATGGCGTGAGATCGTCATGCAGACACACCCAGAACATGGCAAGAGAGTAGAGACTGATCGTGACGCTGACATTATATATGATACCTGTCCAGAGGTATCCAGAGCTCAGCCCAATATAGCCCTCTTGATAAGTGTCGGTTGCCTTCATTATGATGGAGGCGAGAGCCAGAATGGGCTTCAACCAAGCGTACTGCAGGATACCACGTTTGACAGCGAGGAATGTGTGAGGGTCCGAGATGTCAATCTTTGGGAGGCAGTGGTTGAGAGGCCAAGCATGGGAGATAGGAGGGCGGCCATGGGCCATGATAATCACGGCCCGCTCGCCGCCGAGGAAGTTTATGAGGAGCTGGAAGAAGGTATAGATTGTGAATGCCTGCCAATGCCATCCGTTAATACGGGCCTGTCTGACAGTCGACCACGACCCCACATACCTCGTAGATGTCGCGAACAGGATCCAGAAATTGAGCCGCCCTTAGCGATATGATGCTCGTCCATGATGATACTGCGAAGATCGGGACCCTAAGCTCTATTAGCACTGCTCTTTATCCTTGCCCCCTGAGCTGATACTCGAGCCGATACTGACATCAACAATATGCGCACCACATAGCGTTGGAGTAAGGGTTTCCGGTAGTTTTTGCTAGATATGCTGTGAGCTGTGGTTCTGGGATTGGGACGGTATGAGCTCGTACGCTTGAAACCATATGGACCTGCGATTGGAGACAACATGTTAGCCTGGGAGTCTACAACGATCGCGCCCTTGAGTTAGGATACACAAGATAGATTAGACTCACAAAAATGACAATAGAGAAGAAACCAAAGCCGAAACACCTGTGACAATGATAATGGCGCGTGCCAGGCTGGAGCCTGTTCCTCCCCCAGTTGCAGTCGTCATGATTGCTGAAAATTAGGGACAAGCACGGTTTGGGGACCGATTTCTGCCTGCGGAGATAATCCAGCTCATTCCGCGGAGACGATAGAGGGGCAAAACATGTTGGTCAAGACCAAAATGGGGGGGAAATCAAGCTGAAGAAATGTTGGCTCGGAATGAGGAGGCGTGTTGTCCGATGACGATCTTCTCGTGACACCGCTCTCAGACTTCCTAAACAACGTCCTCACCTTGCGGCTTCCAGGATATTTGACCCAGCCAGTTTGGTGTCGATGATTGACAGGTCAATTTTGACTCGTCATTCGCGTTCTATCGCGCTGACGCTGTCCATGTTAGTTGGTGGAGAGAGATGGGTAGTACAAGCTTGACATCGGCCTTCCTGACGCCGGATCCAAGCTTCAATTGGTATGGAATCGCTGCTTGGGCCATGGCTGTTGTACTAATAGATTTAGGTTTTTCCTCTTGGAACTCATTGTCTCTTGTATTCTGTAAGTTGCGCCGTTCAACGCCGCTGGATTGCGCTAATCACCAGCATAGCGCTCTGTTCTTTTTGCTCTACTTCAATCGGCTTTTCGCAAACCTCATCTCTTACGCAATTCGAGCATACACCTGGCATTACTACCGCGCCTATGTTGATATAAACGCACTTCAAGTCTCCCTGCTTGGTGGGAGAATCTTCTTCAAAGGCATTCGGTACCATGGCGTGAACGAGACGATCTTCATTCATGGAGGATTTATAACATGGCGCTATTGGACCCGTACAGTCGAGCGAAATGACTTGACAGGAATTCGACGCAAGGCTAGCCTTGCTCATCATACCCCAAGGAAAGGACATGCGCGACCCCCGCACGATGGCACAGACCACAGTCTTGGGGAGCAAGGTGGCATGGGAAAGACGACCGAATTGCCGTGCCGGATTACCATCAACACCTATGGCCTTGAATGGTTCATCTACAACCGGACTCCCGCTTATGACAGTATCCTTGCTGGGTTTGGGTACTCTCCCAAAAATGTTGATTTAGATGACGATATTTCAACCCCCCCAGGGTCTCACGGGACAGCCGAAGATGGCAACGTAAGCAACGCCTTCAATTTCGAAAATACACCTGGCCATCAACCAACCGTGAAACCCATGTCAGAGCGCAGCATGAGTGAGAGAGGCGGGGTTGCGTCACAGAGGACTACTATTCGTGAATCAGAACTATCGGACCCTATATCCAACATGTTACAACTCCTGCCTGTAAAGCTGGATTGTCAGAGAGGCGCCATCGTCATGGGAAATGAGCATACCCGATCTGTCTTGACAACGACATTCGACACTGGAACGGGTACCTTCGACGCTTCCAATTCGGGCCCTCTTGATTTGTACCGTCAAATATTTTCATTTCAACTCAATAATCCAGTGATTCAAATGCGGCCAAACCCGGACTTCAAGCAGAACCAGTCGGCGACTGCGAAAGACCTAGCTGCGGCGCAAGAGAAAGAGCCCGAATCGAAGAAAAAACCGCAAAATATCTTCAACTATCAATTCCAGAGGCGCAGAGTATGGCACAGCATTCGAGAATTGGTCCCGTATTTCCAGACATCAGTCGAATCGTTCCATGACGATGGCAGACACACCAATAGTATGCCGAGAAGCCAGGCAGAGTTTCCTGAGGTCCGCTGGACTGGTCTCTCTCGGTATCTGGACGAATATACCGAGGATGACCATGAAAAATGGAACTCAGTCGAATATGGCAGATTTTCGACCATCGTGGATAGCCCTAGCTTGAATATAGCCTACTTTTGGGACGTCCCTGGGCGAGTGATTATTGAACCAACGTCAACTGTTCGGTCTCAGCCAATGGATAACAATATCAATTATGCTCCTTCTCCGGAATGGGGGATTGACCTCAAGATTGACGGCGGTGTGATAAATTACGGACCATGGGCTGATAGGGAGCGGATTGGCCTGCAGAATGTCTTTTTTCCGAACTTCTATCGCAGCGCTGAGCCGACAGAGCAGCTAGCCCCCGGTGTTCTGCGACAAAGCACGGCATTCAGGCTGCGCGTGGAGATTAACAAGGAATTGACATTGCGCATTCCGACACGAGAGCCTTCCAAAGATTGGCAATGGAAGGGTCGAGCTGATGCCGTTGGGGGTGCATCGAGAGCAAAAAAGCCAAATGACCAGAAGAATGCTCGAGCTAAAGAAGGTGAAAAAGGCTACCTTGGCCCTGAAATTCGTCCATTTGGGTGGCTCTCCCTTTG